CTGTACAGGGTTTCCGAGGGTGTAAATCTTTACGGGAGTAGAAAGCCTCATCTTTCTCCCGCGGAGCAGCTGGTAGTTTCGAACCACTGACCTTAAGGTTTGCAGCCCGATTCGTAACCACTACGCTACCAGAGCTCCTTACAAGAGCTAAAAGGAGAGGGAGTCTCGGAAAGCAGAGCGGGCTGTGGAGCCTATTCTCTGGACCCAGGAGCCGGGAACTGAGAACTACTTAGACCCTGGACACAGAGCTAATACCAGGATGGCGAGAGGCAGCTGCTTCGAAACAGTGGCACCATCATTGGCAGCAGATGTCATGTGGGCTTCCCAGCCCACACTGTTAGATAGGAGGGTTGCTGGAGGGGTAGGCCCAGGGCCTCTGCGCATTTGGTGGCTGTGGTACAGTGAATTTACTAGATGTGGTTACCATAACTCCTGCCAAATGACTGGGTGTTACCATGCAAATAGGATGTACAGCACTCTTAACTTGGGAATTGATTGGTTTTGCTACTCCACTGGTTTTAATATGAGTCATCACAGAAGCAGGAAAAGGGGGTGGTGGTGTCTCAGACCATCAAGAAAGAAGAGCTTCAAGCAAACGGAATGCATCCTTTGGATCCCGAGATCCCTGCTTGGAGGAACAGCAGTGGCAGCACCAAAGCACAAGACCGAGCGAGCGCTGCTGTGTACCTTCCTGACCCACAGAGTGAGAACAGCTGAGAGTACTTTGGGTATTTTATTCAAAGGCTAGCAGAGCTTTGTAATACTTGCCCAAGTAGGGCAGAAGCCAGGGGGCCATGTAAGGCCTAGAGAGAGAGAGAGAGAGAGAGAGAGACACGCCCCCTGCACAGCTGAGAAGTTGTCCTGCAGCCTCCTGAGTAGTTTGATTTTAAATTGTATCCAGTTGGCTTCCTTAATCAGCCCTGCAATCGTGGGTGTGGTCTGTGAGTTCTGTGAAAAGGAGAAAGTGCTGTGGGAGGGATGCTTGGTGTCAGAATAGGATAAATTGGAGGGTGGAGGCAGGTTTGACCTCAACCTCACAAGAATTGGCCTTGGGCTGGTGAAGTCTCCTTTTAGAGGTCAAACACACCGTCTCTATGCCATTTTGGCAGAGCATAGTAAGTGCCTTTGGGCTGAAGCATACTTGCAGAATGCCTCTGAGTGCTTACTGGCAAAGCTACAAGAGCTTTGTAACACTTGCCGTAACAGGGCTGAGGCTGAGGGGCCACAACTAAGAACCGTATCCTGCGTGTTCCGGAACCTGAACTTCGCTATAAACCCCATAATCGTGAGTATGGTGTGCGAGTTGTGTGAGGCCATGAACATGAATGATCAAACCCAGCAGAGAAGGAGAAATTGCTATGTTGTTGTTAGGTGCCATCGAGCCAGTACCCACTCATAGCGACCTTATGCACAGCAGAACGAAACACTGCTTGATCCTGGGCCAACCTCATTACTGTTGCCACTTTGCCAATACATCTCACTGGGGGTCTTCCTCGTTTTCTCTGACCCCTACACCTTACTGAGCATGATATCCTTCTCCAGAAATTGCTATGGGAGAGGCATTTGGTGTCAGAGTTGATAAAAAGGTTGGTGTCAAGAGGTAGTCTGACCTCACTCAGTCTCACAGCAACCAGCCTAGAGCGGTTGGTGCTGATAATCTTCCTTTCCCCTTGTAAAGTTGGAGTCCTGGTGTGGTGCTGTAGGATAAGCACTGGACTGGCAAGGTCGACAGTTCAAATCTACCAGTTGCTCCTTGAAAACGTTATACAGGTCTTCTATGAGTCAGACTGACCACAGCACTTTGCAACAATATAGTTAGAGTTTAGTGGCCTTTGCCATGCCATTTTTATAGAAACTTATCCATGTGCTTGGATGCAATCTAACCCTGTGGACAGGAGCCTGACCTTACAGAACCTAGGCTGCTGATGTGTGCGGTTCTACGCATCTCTGCCCTGTTCATTCTGTAAGTCAGACACACCTGGTGATCGTGCCATTAGCCGAGTCTGGTCTGCACTTTGCTCTAAATGGATTTTCACTAAGAATGTGTGAATATGCTGCATTTATGTATGTTTTGCTGTGTACTTTCTGAGCAACAACAAAAGGATTTGTGAATCTAAATGACACTGCAGACAGCAGTCAATTCCCGCTCCCTGCCCCCCTTTTCTTCACTGCTCAGTGGTACCATCATGAACACAGTTCCTCAAGCCAGAAACCTGAAGTTATTCTTGTCCCTTTCTTATTTACCTGCCTCATCCACTCAATCACCTTCCATTTATTCCTTCTCCAAATCTATTTCAATTTGTACCCCATCCCCCCCCCCCAATTCTCCTGTCCCCACCCTAATCAAAACCATCATCAAGTGTTGCCCAGAGTTCTGCAATGGATATTCAGATGGTCCCTTCATTGCCAGGGCAGCCTGAACGCCCCCAGCAGGTATTACATAAATCACATCTTGTCATTTAGATCCTTCCATTGTGACCCACTGAATTTAGACTAAGACCTCATCTTTTTAACAGCACACAGAACCCCATGACTGCTTGATTCTTAGACTGTCCCCTGCTTTCTCCTGCTTCAGGGATTTAATATAGCTGTGTTCCTGAACCTGAATGTTCTTTATCGGGTGCCCGGGGGAAGCTTTCATAGCCTCTAAATTAAAATCCCATCAACTGGGGCTATTTGTTATGAAAAAAAGGGTTTAGATAATTTTTTTTTTAAGTTAGTAACCCTTGAACTTAGGTAGTGAACACTTTCCTGGAGTAGTTCCAATGAAAGGAATAGAAGGGAATAGAGCAGGTGGCCAAATAGGGCACCACGGAGCATTTGCTGGTTGCATGTCTCTAGGACAGAAATTCCCTAATGATCGTGGAGTCGGGTTCCAACTCATAGCGACCCTGTGAGGCTGTAAATCTTTATGGGAGCAGCTGGTAGTTTCGAACTGCTGAGCTTGTGGTTCGCAGCCCGATTCATAACCACTATGCTACCAGAACTCCTTCCCTAACAATCCTCTGAGAACATAATTCCTCCCTGCAGTCCCTGTCCACCCGCGACCATGTCTATCCATGCAGCGGCAGACACTTCTCTGTTCCACGTCGCCTCGTGTTTCCAACACGGGACCACTGTTCTAATGGATGAGCCCCCACTAAGCGGAGAAGGGGAATGACGTCCAAGGTTAGAGGCAAGGAAACTAGACTTGTCTCTCAACTGGAAACTTCACCGAAAGCACTGTCACTAGCGCCTCACAAGTGTTATGTCAGTCACCCCACCGGTGCTTTCGTGCTAGGTTTTATCACGTCCCCTTCTGAGCTGATGAGACTGAACTCCAACCCCAACGGGCTCCGAACCCTGGTCTTCCCACGCCCCCAGACCGAAAACGGGCGCGAAGCCCAGACTGGGGAGGAGGACCCCAGGGGCGAGGCGAGGAGGGAGCGGCGCTCACCTCGGAGCAGAGACATGGCGGCGGCTTGATCTCAGGGTCTCGCTCGGGCTGTGCGGGGAGTCTCCTCTCGGCTGTTGCAGAAGGGCCGCACACCGTCACCCCGACTATAAGGACGTGGGACGGCGCCTGCGCGGTCACGCCCCTAGCCTTTCACCCAGTTGCCCGCCGGCCACTTGGCCTCTGCAACCGCCGCAGATGCCCCCTCTTCCCAGTGGAAGACACAGGCTCCTGGGTGGGCCGTGGGGGAAGGAGTTCCTGGCCAGCGTTTTGTCCCTCACATCAATTTTCTTAAAAAGACGTCTTCCTACTTCCAAATCAAGATAATGGGTGGTGTTGTTAGGTGTCGTGGAATCGGTCTCACTGCTAGCAATCTTAGAATGAAACACTGCCCGGTCCTGCCTTATCCTCACGGGCATTATGTCTGAGCCCATTGTTGCAGCCACTGTCTCAATCATATCGTTGGGAGCTGGGGTCTTCCTGTTTTCCGTTGGCCCTCCACTTTACTAAACATGATGCCCACCACGAACTGGTCCCTCCTCACAGTAAGTCCAAAGAACGACGAAACACGAAATCTCTATCCTGGCCTCTAAAACTCCCTCCATCCTTAAGAGGCTAGTAGATTTTCTCTGAGAACGAAATGTAGAAGGTGCTTGGGGGAGGCTGGGGCCCCAATAGCGTCATTGTGTGTTGGAATCAACACGATGGCAGTTTGGGTTTGTATTTTTTGTTTGTTTCGGAGCAGACGGCTACCGACAGGGGCCAGACTGGAAGTTAGGTGGGTGTGACGTGGAGAACGGCGCGCCGGATTGGTTAACTCGCTTGCGCCTGCGCAGACCACAAGGCAGGCTGAGGCTTTAGGCCGCTTGGCAGGTGAGAGGATGTTGTCTGGAGTGTAGGGGTGTGGGGTAGACGTCCTAGGTGGGGGGGGTGGGGGTGGGGGCAGTGTTTGTAGTAGGATTGGGGCGCTTCCGGATCCCTAACTCAGCCCCTCTATGAGCCCACTATGTTTTCCTTATATGATCGGGTTCCTTTGTGGGCAATGCCGCTTGCCAGGAGCCTGAGATGATTATGAACACGTGTCAGGAGAGTTGGGGCCAGGGGACCGGGCGCAGGGTAGATTAGGGGCGAGGGCAGCGGGTTAGGCTAGAGCTGCGGGAGGTTTAGGGAGACCTCTGCTGCCTTAACTGTGAGCCCTGGTCGGTGATGACGTGACCACTGCGCAATCTGAGTTTTGGGAACCAGATGATGGAGTGTGTGCTGACGGACTGAGACCGGGGCGAGCAGGAAGTGCGCTACAGCGTCCTGGGTGCGGAGGGGTGCTGGATGGCTTGTTTCCTGTGAGTCGTCCGCGAATCCTGATTTTCAGACGCCTTGGTGGCGTCTCAAAAGTTGTAAAAAAATTTTTTATGCCAGCTGTTTTCTTACGAAAACTTTTGAACAGAGTAAAGTGGGAAGACACACAGTTACCATCCACATACGCTTACCTTACATCCATATTCCCTTAATTTTTTGCTGTCTTCTGTATCACAACTTTCCATCTGTTCTCTCATCAAGCTTTCTTATTCTTTTTATGCAGACCTTGATGTTGGGTGCCCACTAGTGATTCCAACTCACAGCAAACTGCCCCGTGGAATCGCTGGGTAGAGTCAAACAGGCACCATTGGGTTAGTAACTGAACACTGAACTGGTGTGACACCAGGGTTCTCTTTGCAGACCTTATTATTCTAATGGAGTTAGTGCACGTGGAGTACCCGTGAGCTGAAATTGACTCCAGGTTAATTTAAGGTGAAATTAATTTACAACCAGTGTGGTGCTGTGGGGTTAAGGCGCTGGACATAAAAGTCGGTTAGAACTGCAAGGTTGGTGCTTCAAGATCACCAGCCGCTCCTTGGAAACCCAATACAGGGTCGCTACGGATCAGAACAGAATCGACGGTTCGACAATTTAGGCAAACCTTAGAACACTTCACCCGGAAGCTTTTGAGCATTTAATTTTAGCTCATTGTTGATTTATATTTAAAGCAGAATTCCCATACAGTCCAATGTACAAATTATAAATTGGGCTAGTTTCACAAATGCATATATTCTTGTAACCCAAACTGCTGTGAAGTTATCATTTTGGCGCTGCCGGATAAGTACTGGACACCTGACCACAGAGATCAGTGCTTCAAACCTACTGCCCACTCCTTGAAAACATTTTGGAGGCTTGCTGTGAGTGGGAACTGATGTAACAGCACTTAACAATTATCACAGAAAATGCATTCATTCCCCTTCCCACAGTCCTTCTTCCAGGCAACCACCGTTTTGTATGTTTTTCTCACCATCTTTGGCAATTTGACTTTCTGGATTATTCCTTTTTTCCTTTGCTTTGAGTTAATCCAGGAAACAGTCAATTCAGCATGGATATTCTGAGGATTATTAGTTTTTACTAAGTGTTAATGCCTTTGGAGTCGTGATGTGGCACCATAGGATAAGTATTTAACAGTTGGTTTGGGAAATGCCAGGTTGGCAGTTCATACTCACCAGCCTGTTATTTATTTATTTATTTTTTCTTAAATGTTTTATTGAGAATTATGTGATAGTTTACATGGAAGAACAGTAGTTTTACATTCATACTATCGTATCATTGCCATGGTTACAATCCTCTCCATGCATCATCAACCAACCAAAGGGTATACCCTGCAAGCTTGCCCCACACACCTTCCCGGTCTTCAGCACACAGTCCCTCGCCCTCTCTGGATCTGAAGTCCCCAGCTGCTCCATCGCTCCACATCATCGTCTCTGCCTCCATCTCAGGCATCACTGCTTCTCTGGGTAGGGTTCCGCTCTCCGTTCTTCTCCGTTGATGGTCCCTAGGGACCTCCACCAGCCTGTCCACCATCCTGTTCTTGAAAACTATACAGGGCCACTGTGAGTCAGAACCAACTCAACAGCACTTAACAAAAACTCCTTCACAACAAATGTATTTAGTCACTGGAACTCTTGACTTTGAATAGATCAAAGCTTCCCACATACCTGATAATGATTTTTTTCATCTGCGAACCTTTGGCATGAGGGAAGAGCGGTAAGCACCACCACCGTTTATTGAGTGCTCAGTATTCCACATTCATCATTTATCACTTGTATACTCAAACCATAGAATGTTTATTGCATATAAAAAAGAGCCCAGATGGCACAATGCTTACTTGCGCACTTGGCTGCTAACCAAAAGGTTAATGGTTCAAATCCACCCAGCAGTTCCATGGGAGAAAGACTTGGCAGTCTGTTACTGTAAAGATTACAACCTTCAAATCTCTTTGGGAACAGTTTATTCTGACCCATGGGTTGTTGATGAGTCAGTTGAAATTGACTCCATCTAATAACCTATGTAATTTATCATTCATACACAATAGGGAAATTCTGCAACTCCTTGAGATAGCCCCACCTCCCACCCCCATTTTATAAATGAAGATACTTTGGCTCAGAGAGCGCAAAGAACTTGCCAAAGGCTCACATCTACAATATTGCCGAATCAGGATTTTAAGCCCATGACAATCAGAAACCCAAGGCCCAGTGCTTGCTGGATGTGGAATGTAAGTGGGAGTAGGAAAAAAGAATTATACTTGAGATGTGCATTATAGAAAGCAGGAAAGGGGATGAGCGCTAAGTATGTAAATCTTTATTGTAGGAAGAAATTAGGTAGTTGGGAAGAATTCTTGATAACTATCAGTTTTAGAGTTTCAGAAGGTTTGAAATGGAGATCCTATGAATTTATCAAGATTTTAGAACTAGCCCTATGCCTCAACTGTTCTAGAGAATTTTCCTATGCTGAAACAGTTGCACCTACCTTCTTCTAACAATAAAAACTGATGGTAACTTAACAGATTTAGGAGTTTGCATAATGGTAAAATCTAGGGATTAGAGCAATTTAAAGAAATTAAAAGAAAAAAAAAGACTTCACCTTCTGAAAGTAAGTTTCGTATATGTTCGGTTAAGCTAACTGCTTTGATGGTAACTGCTTCTATTTTTTGTTCTTTAAAAGGCAATTATTTAAAAAAAAAAAAAAAAAGACAATTATTAGCTTGAGTATAGGTTTGTCCTTGCATCAAATACCTACTCTTTGGAAAGTTAAGTTTGCAAGCAATATTAGATGTCTGAAATGGCATGAGGTTAAAAAGAAAATACACTGATTTACTGAACTGGCTCACGTTAAGTTGACCCTAAGTCTTGCTGTGCTCCAGGTAGCCATAAGGCATTGCTTTAATTGGAGGTGATGTTAATCGGCTCTGACGCGTCATGAATGAAAGCCTGCCAGCCCTGTACCATCCCACAATCGTGTTTGAGCCCATTGTAGTCACTGTGCCAATCCGTTTTATTGAGGGGCTTCCTCTTTTCCACTGGCCTTCCTCCAAGTATGATGCCCTTCTCCAGGTAATGGTCCCTTCTATGTCCACAGTATGTAAGATGAGTCACCATCTTCACTTCCAAAGAGAATCCTGGCTGTATTTCTTCCAAGACAGATTTGTTCCTTCTGGCAGGCAGTCCATGGTATATTTAATATTCCTCACCAACACCGTAATTCAAATGCTTCTATTTGTTCTTCCTTATTGTTCAGCTTTTGTTTGTATATGAGGCAATTCAAAATACCATTTGCTTGGGACAGGCACACCCGAATCCTCAAAGTGACATCTTTGGTCTTTAACACTTTAAAGAGGTCATTTGCGGTAGAGTTATGCAATGCAATTTGTCATTTGATTGTTTGACTGCTGCCTCCATGGGTGTTAATTGTGGATCCAAGAAAAACAAAATCCTTGAGACCCTCAGTCTTTTCTCCATTTATCATGATGTTGTTTATTGGTCCAGCTGTGAGGAAATTTGTTTCTTTACCTTGAGGGGTATTCCATACTGAAGGCTTAAAAAGCTTTGACCTTCATCAGCAGGTGATTCAAATCCTCTTCACCTCTAGCAAGTAAGGTTACATCATCTGCCTATCCTGATTGTTAATGAGCCTTCCATCAATTCTGATGTTGTCTTCCTCTGCATATAG